CATTAAAAATGTTATTCCATAGTTAACTAATTTTTTTATTGTAAAGGGATACGTTACTATCTTGCACAATACAAAACCTTTGATATTAAATTGTACTAAACCTCGAGTCTGTATTAGAACAACGGTATACTGCGGAAAAATGTAACGAATTTATAGGAAGGTATAAACTTGGGTAATATAATAGACTAAAAGTTCCTTTTAGTCTGTTTATAGGAATGTCACATAGTGAAACAGTATCATTTACAGGATAACAACATTTCGGACATAATTTTTGGTCCGTAGTCATATCAAGGTAACTCCACAACTTTGAGACAGGGTTCATATAGTTCTAATCCTCTCTCCTTCTTTGCGACAAGGATAGTAGAATTTCCCAAGCATATTTGAGACACGTGCAGAATCATTTCCATTTCTGCATGTATTTAGTGTTGGTTCGAAGAACAAGAATTTGGTTAGCAACATTTTCCTTCCTCCATCCAAAGAATTTAGTTTTCAACATTATCACTCTATCCCATCCAACTATGTGATTGTGTCTAATTGCGTGCAGAGCTATAGTCATACAAGGAGTGAACCTCAAAAGTATTACAAAGAATTTTCAATAAGGCTGAGATTAAAGTGTCATTTAAACCAACAAACTCTCTTAGAAACAAGTTTTATAAGTTAAAAGATTTAATTGATACGATTGAGTAGAATAATTTAGTTTTACAAAATCCCTTGCAATGATGATGAGGCAAAATACATAGGTCAGAATAGTCGACCAGGGTCAATTAGAATAACAGAACTCAATAACATAACTAAATTAAGTTTAGTAGATCCTAATAAGACAAGAAAGTTTTAGAAATGGTTGGCTGTAGCTACGCACACAATGACACACTAGGGTGGGATAGAGAGACAGTATTAAAAACAAACCTAGTTTGGTGGAGGAAAAAATTGATAATCAAATCTTTTTTCATCTAATCAACACTATAAACCATTTCTCAAAGTTATAGAGTTACCTGGATATGACTACGGAGAGTAAATTGTATCTGGAACGTTCTTACCCAGTAAATGATACTGTTTCATTGTATAAAATTCCTTATAAACAAACTAAAATAAGTAGAAAATTAATAATAAAGGAGGAGTGAATGGTCTTTGAGGGAATTAGCGAATTCTTTAAACAGTGACTAACAACAATCCAATAGTAATAATAATAACATAGCCAGAGATAATGGAATTGTAGAGTACTTGAGAGCAGCAATCCACTTCAGTGTATCTTGGTTTTACAAAAAGATATCTATCCACTATAAAAAGCTATCATAATACAATCAGTTATGAGTGTTTTTGGCTCAATACATTAAGACACCGGTGCCTTTAACCAAAAGACCGTTCTTTTTAAACGTGTGTAGTTCTGCATTAGTAAACAAATCCAGAAAACGAAATGTGCAGATTAGCTGAGAATAAAACATAGACATTTAACTGTTATTGTTCTTTTAGATTATTGAAGACCATTACCTGTATACGTGTTATTGTAAAGCAGTAGGTCATTTCGCTTTCAGCCAGTGGGTTAATTATCTGAACCTCATATGATCTACTTAGGTCTTGGTAGCCAAGTATTAATATTAGCCTTTACACAATACATGTCGCTCATTTCTTACTCGATAAAACATCATATGGTTGCGAAGTGCATTTGGAGTATACTTTGTACAATAGCTAGACAAAGTTGTTGGTACGCAGCTACTTAAAACTGGTGATAAAAACTAATGCCTCTTTATTTCAGTCACTTCGCTTTCACTCCATTTTACTTTTCGTAAAACGTTCGAGGTATGTATGACATCTTCGAATAATTTCGTCTTAAACCTTAAGAATCTTAAACGTCTTCATCAATGATCTTTTTAATTAAATATTGCCACAGGTTACCGACTAATAAATACGTATTAACCCGACGAGGTAATATAAGCGACAATATAAAAAACTATACCCGTCGAACATGAAGTGGCTATCGTGCCTGTTATCTAGTGAATAACCCTTTACTGTTTGAAGTGATAGATCTTATGTTCCATTCTTACTGGAAAAACATTGCCTATTGCTAACAGGTACATCCAGCTGATGAGTTCCAATTCCGGCGAAAAGTGCATCTTGGATTCCACTGCAAGCTGCTGTTCGTCATTATTCTAAAAATTGATTTTTCCAATATTCTAACAATATTTCGGTCCATTGATACTCTTTAATCATAGGAAGCGATTTAGATATAATGTCTGATGTAAAATTTATCTAGCCACCTTAAAATTTAACCAACAATAAAATCAATATACTTTCGAATTTCTGCTGTGAATACGTTCTTCACTAATCCACCTTGTTGGGAGGTCATCAAAAGTATATTTATGAAGACAGAGTTATGAAGAACGAGTTTCATCTGACTGTATAGGTGGAAATGATTTCGGTATGCGTCAGTGACTTGAAAATACAAATGTTTCCAATAAACAGGATAAAACTTATTTTTTATAACATAAACTGATAAACAACTGAAAAATAATTATATAAATGATTGCGTGCGTTTTCATAGAAATTTCTGCTCACAAGTAAATCATCCCTTTTAGAATATACATATAAATCCATATTTTTATGACTTATGAAAGAAACGAGACTGTTGGAAGAGATATTTTTCACACTGTGGTACATATTGTTGATTCCTTATTGCAGAAAAACAAGTATCATGCTGTTAATCTCTTCTAGACTTAACAGAATCCTTTTGAACATATATGATCATCATTTTACCATCAAAATTAATTCTTTGTGCGGAAAATCTTTCCTTAACGATTGCAAAGCAAAACGATGCTGCCCAACCATCAGCCTGCTTTTACCCTCCAGACGGTTATGACGTTGCTAGTGATTACAACATTCTGTGTCCCTAGTAATGGTAACATGCTGACCACGGAACTTGAAAATCCTGGTTCTGATTCGTGGAGAGCGGGTTGATGAGTGCGCCCTGCTGAGGAGTCCCACGGTGGGACGAAACAGCTGTCCAGTGCTTACAGGTTTCCGTTGTATTTTCAACTGATATTATTTCATAATGAATTCCAACCTGGAACCAATTAATAAATCTCCACAATGAATTTGTCTAGTGCACATTGTTGACTAGCTTAGGGGCTTTTCCAATTAGAGAAATGAGGAATAAAAACAAAATATGACCTTAAAACAGTGTAATTCGTTGTAAAATCTTGATGGGCAATATGGTTCGTGATGTAGCTGCTTAGATTCTGCCTTGTAGCGGAATCTGAAACATGCATTACTTCATGCTTTGGACTCATTGGATGGATATATAACCGGAGCAACTGGAATCCGGAATCTATTCAGTAGACTACTAAATCACAATATGCATCCCTAGTGCTCTGACTTTCAGTTGTTACTAGCTGGTAGTTATGAATTTTCTTTGTTCGTTAATCCTGATCTAAGAAGCCGATCTTTGTTAATACATGGACTTCCTTTACAGAAGCTTAAATATCACCTTGAGATTTATGCTGTCATGGTTGGTTGGTCGTGACTAACATAAATTTAAAAAAATTACTCCATTGAATACAGAGAATAAAGCTGATTAGATTTCATTCATACTTGTAAAAGTTTAGGCGTATTTAAAATCAAATACGCCCATTGTTTCATACCGGTGTCCGGTTTGAGCTTCTTCATGGATTTGTTCAAAATAATACAAAATTTAAATCCAGGATCCTAATTCCAGACAACTTACATCATAATAAAACTTGAGACAATTTCATGGCACCCATTCACATCTGCCGATAAATGAATTCTATAAAATAATCAAAATGAAATTATTATTATCAATAAGACTGACTGAGTGAAGAAATATATTCCTTTTCAATTAGGTCCGTCTTCATCTTCGGCTCTACACTAATATGCATATTATTGCAATCTAATCAAATTACCAACCACATGGTGATGTTTCAGAAATAATCAACAGAGTTACTAAAGTTGGAAATATGAGTATTGATAGAAACAAGGAGAAGGGGAAGAGGTGTTGACGGCCACGGTAATGAAAATGGTTGGACAAACTTCTTTCGATACAAACGCTAGGTTTGTAAAAGTGGATTGTGATCGCCTCTACTATGTGAAGTAACCGAGTGCGTAATCCATAGGGTGAATTAATTGAAATCTGATGGATGATTCTGAAGGCTTTTCCAGTAACCACTTGATGTCTTGTGTCAACTAAGTGTGCAACAATGGAGCTCTTTTTATGGTTCTAATTTGTCCCTTGTTTAACCGTGATGGGTGGTGCTCAGAAATTCGACGATGGAACTGCCTCATTGTACGCCCAATGTAACTAGCTTCACAGGAGCAGTCGAATTGATAAATGCACATAGACGTGGCAGAATTAGGCAGTTTGTAGTTATTTCTTGCGCCTATCATTTTCCTCCTCCTGATTGCCGGGTGAACACTATTGCACTTATTCAGAACAGCGTTCTTATCAGTCTCAATTTTGAGAACTATAAAGGTTTCATCCATGTAACAACAATATAACTCTAAACGGCTAATAGTATCGTTCAGTGGACCATCCTCAAGTCTACTGTCTCCATTAAAGGAACGTTATTAAAAAGAGATGAAAAATCACATGAAATCATTAACTTATTATCTATTTCCAGATCCTCAATCTTTCTGACAAATTCAAAGGTATTTTTAAGATTGTACTTCACAACTTCTTTGTGGAGAGGTTTCAAGAGTTGTACTGACCATTTTGCTGTTGTATGATACGGATAGTTAGTCAGGTCGAGAAGTGGTCGATTGGTCCCATTAACCCCAGACTGTATCAGGTATTTATTGCACCATTTTGTTTACACCGAGAGTGATAATAAGGATAAGGGTGTTATTCCTTCATGTATCAGTGCTAACCAGGCACATATTATGCCCATTTCATATAGTGTGGTGTTTAACAGTTCTAACTGTGTATGCAAATCAACCTATAAATCTCTTATAAATTAAGATACTATTTATTCTCCGTTTTATTTTTGTTCCAGTGTAATAATCATATTTGACAAAGTGGTTTCCTAAATCAGTCCAACTACTTCATGAAGTAAGTTGTGTATTTTTGGAAAATGTTTTTGACAGTCTTATATATTCTCGTCAGCTGATGAAGTGAGTGTAGTTTTCTTCCCTCTGTTAACCAGTTTTCCAATGATGAATTAAGTTGGATATAAAAGTCATCATGTGTTACTAGTTGGCCGAAGCATCATTTCTTAATTAGTGGGATTGAAGAGAATCCTGAAACCAATATGAAATTCTTCAATAGTAGGAGATAATAATATATTGCAGGATGAAACTTCAACCTCTAAGACCTTCCATAGATAACATTACTACTGTTTTAGTATGCAAGAGTCAGGGAGTAATGTAACAAAAGTCATTGAGTCAAAATGCGTCATCATTATCTTCTCAATCAGTGGAAGTAACTATTTTCAAGCAATGTTTCAGATGAAAAAAGGCTTTGATTTCTTGTATAAAATCAAACTGAGTGCCTAAAAGGCTCATGGAAATAAGCGATAACACTGCGACATAAAACTAACTTTGACATACTTAGCGCCAGAGAAGAAACATGTCAAATATGCAAAATGCAATTAAAATAAACTGAAGCTCCAAGCATATTTCTTGTTCAAAGCAAGTTGTTCTCTGTGCTATGGTTTCACTTGTTGAACACTTCGTTGTCATGCTAGACACTATCATCAGTGCATCAGGGCTACACTTTCCTGTCCACCTCTGGTGCACACCTTGGCGCTTGAATATTCGCAACAACTTCTAGCTGTTTTGAAGACAACGATGAGATGACGAAGTTGTCGAGCATACACAAAACTGCAAAGATTACATTTTGGTCTCCAAATATCATACCGTTCCAGGCTGGGTGAATAAACTCGAAGAGAAATGCACTGTATAAGAGTTCACAAATTGCATCAAATCATCCGAAATAAATTTCTCTGGTTCTTTTACTCGATTGGCGATACCGTAGGTATAAGTAGTTAGCACAGGAGCATATTGAAATGGTGAAAAATTACAAACTTCTGGACTTTCTTCGAAACTGATACTTTCTACCTAGTTCTGCAGACATTCATCCGACTAATTAACTCTATCTGAAGGTTTTCGGGACTTAGTGATTTTGAGGTTGGTGTTCATCAGGGATTTACATGAGTTAGATAAACTCTAGAAACTAAGGAGCCCTAGCTTCTTTCCAGTATAAGACTCCTCAGCAACGCTCACCCTCAAACCCACCCAGTCAGCGACTTAACCCAGAAATTTCATGTTCCGTTGCCAGCACATCATCACTGAGCCACTGGGTAGGGATTTAGTGGTACATATTTCATACTTCCGTCAGTTCACAATATAACGCGACCCCCATCCAATGCGAGCGTTGAACAACTGTCCTCATGTAACTCTGTATACGACAACTGCGTTGACCAAACTCTGTATTACAAGTTTCATATCGGAAAAAAAGGATTATGAGTTGGTATTGTTCCTCAAAGAATTTCCTTTTAGCAATTTCCTATTTCAGTGTTAGGCTGTGAAATACGATCGGCAGAAAGCTCTGTTCTACATAGATATCCCGCTTGTTGGTAATCATCAATAACCAAGATGACATCAATTTTTTTCGTGATCCAAATGCTGGTTGCTGGTTTGCTCCAATCAGACGGAAAAGTAAATCAAGTTTGGCTTCCTGACGACGGATTCAACCAGTTTACGCTAGTAATGGTTATCCATGCTGATATGAAGCAGAATACAAGCCATATTTAAAAAGTATGTAGATGGCTGGATTTTTTATTTAAGCACAATGCAGCTGTTTCAGTTTGTAAACCCAAAAGATGAAACGTATCACTTTGAAGATATGAATGATATTAGAAATAGACATCCCCATTGGTATACATCAAACTGATATTCACCGAAATCGTTGCACACATGCACACCGATAAACATCAGTTAGGACAACCTCCACTCTTGCGCGATCTTGTCTAAATAACTGGAAAGATGGTTATGTTTTACTAGCAGTGTCACTGATACAAACTTAGAAGCGAAATGAGGGCAAATTAGTGATTAGTTCTTAGTATGATTCTTTGTTCTTAAAATAGGTACTTTATTATAACCCTAATTTGTTTATTGGTTGTGAAGGCGCATCTTAGGCTGAAAAGCTCATCCTCTCGATGATGAAACGATTTTATGTTGACCTTGTAAGAGGTGCTAATTATGAGTGGATCACTGTTGAATTCACTGTTCCAAATTACTCTAGATGTAAGCTTTATTAAATCGCTGCTAACTGTTCCTCGTTTAGAAAGAAGTGTGTACAATGAAACAGGACATTATAACATCATTTTAACTGCAGCTACCAAAGTGTAGTATACAGTTATATAACTATATGATGATAATATTACCATCACATGCATTTTATGTAACTCTGTTAGGTTTCATTTAACGATCAAGTTCAGTTTAACAAAATATAGTCTAGCTAGTAGAAGTACAGATTGCTTAATCACCTTTTAACAACTCAGAAATATCATCATCATCATCATCATTATCATACAGGAGAGTGTTATTATCATGACTTTTTATAAGAACAAGCCAAAGAAATATTCATTTAAAATTTCTGACAAATACGACAACGTGGTAAGGGTATTTTTCACCTGTTACTATTAGGTTACAGTGGATTCAAAAAGATGTAACTGTATAACTTTTTCCGTATATTATTTCAGCTGGTAATTTTTCTGTTCCCACTTTTTACAAAGCTTCAAATTAATTAGAAGAAAGCATTTCAAGGGAATATTTCTGACTATTAAGAAAATATCAATTCAATTTCTGACAAATTTCACCTTTTGACCCGTATTACCAATAAAGTCAAATGATTCATTCCTATTACAAATATTAATCACTGGTAAAATGATTTATTGATGAGAACAAACCGACAAATGTTAAAATTTAGTAGTTTTCTTGTCAAGTGAATACTTCTTTACCCATCTGACAAGCGATTTACACCTCCATGCTTATGCCTAACATAGTATTAATAATCGCAACCTTAAATGATAAAACCGTAGCTAAATATCATTCTGTCTGATCCCTACTGTTGGGTATATCCTACTGACCTGGTATTACGAAACTGCTATTCATTCGAAAAATTCAGTACTTTGATGAAATTAAGACTTTCAATTGAATGGCAAGAGTATTTTGACAACTGGTTTAGATTGGATTCCTTCAGGTATTATGTTGTGTTTAACGCTTTCTACACCAAGGTGATTTGTGTTGTAAGACACCGTAACTTAGATACCTAAATCTCTTTGTATATCATATATTGAGCAAGTGGCCAGCAGAATAGTAAATATTAAATATTGAGTGAATAATCTATATGCAATATTATCAAAAATGTGGGTGAGATAATGGCAACTAGTCATTTATCTAGGCGGTCAAACGCAGCACAAACCAGGAAAACGTCTCTGACTGTATCACTACATAATACCGGTTTGTTGAGTCCCAGCGAAACAGGTCTAACAGAACTTACTGTTGATTTACTGTAACCATCTAACACTAGTCGTTTATTGTTCTGCACTTGGTGGTAAGCACTGAGATATATAACGTGAGTCCCGTCCTATTTGGCACTCATCAGCTGGATGTATTTTCGCCTGAGTGAATGTTATTATCCTTACAGAGACTCAAATGCAGTATTCATCCACTTGGCCAGTAGGGTACTAGAACACTAGGTAACAATTATTGTTCACCAATACTTTCAATTCCTTGCAGCTATTCTAAGTTGAATTACTCGAACTCTGCAATATAATGAATATCCAAACAGTCTCGAAGTATCCGAATAAGAGGCCCATCTGCCAACAAAAGTCGAACGAGAAATTGCAAATATCAGTAAACTAGCCGTTTATGTTTCAACGTTAGAGATTACTAATCGCTTCTTTTCAGTTCGGCACCTTAGTTTGAATTTCGCCAACTTACTGACTACATCTTTCCAACATAACTAATGAACGGGCCAACTTATTTTCATCATGATTTGGATAAAAAGAACCATTTTGGTATACCCCATGCATATTCAGTGGCTATCACAACTCATTGTCCTAGTGGGTAACGTTTTGATGTTTTGAGTGATGGCTACTGGACTCAAGATTCGTTAGGAACTAACTTATTCATGGAGACTGAGGCACATCAGGTTGGTGAGTCGCTTATAAACTCTGTAGCTTTCAGATCAATAATCTAATATTCAAGGATACTCTGTAATCGAAACTTTGGACATTTTATAGAACTTTCATTTAGTGGTTCTCTGAATTTTCATATTGTTTCTTCGACTGACTTTCTTTTCCTTTCCATCGTCTTAATAGTTTTTTGACTGTTATAAGATGTAGGTAGCTAAGTGAATTCATATATTGTTCAAAATTTTACAACTTAAAGTTCAATACAAATAGTATTTATCAGACCCATTTATTTTTATTCTAACATCATTATTCAACGACTACCTATCTACAGTACATAAAGGTTGTCAGGTTTATTCATTCTATTCCAAATTGCAAAAATTTCACTTTTAAATCACCTTAAACCAGACATATATGTATGTGTAGGTTCTCCTTATCTATACTATAGTTAAATGACAAAACTAACGGGGTTTACCAAATTAAGGTATCTTATAGTAAAGTAACTTCGAAAATCACAACACTGAAATAATTCTTTCTCTGAATCTTTTGCAGGAATGTAGACAACTTTGATGAGAATTGTGAGATTTGAGATTCTAGGTAATACTACTAATAATTGATTTCAGTAAGGCAGATGAATCGATACTTCCTGATATTAATCTCCAAATGGAATGTCGGTATTGCTTTATCCTATCCCCATTTCTTTCTACAACTTTCTACTTTTCCAGGTTCTTTTCTTCCCTATTTACGCATCACTTATCTTGATACCTCCCATCTTGATGTGTTTTTCTGTGAGATATGGCAAATTTAAAGGTTTTCTTTGTTACTGCTTAACTGTAACATTGACGCAAATCTCGTAAGTGACCACTCATCAACAGCCTTGGTAGATATAATATAGTTTTTGGTCTGTTCAACC